TATATTATATTATATTATATTATATTATATTATATTATATTATATTATATTATATTATATTATATTATCACGTCAGCTCAACTTATATCATTGTGGGAAAATTCTACTACCAGTCCTTCATCACTTTACACGAAATTGGGTGAATACATCTCACATTACTATTGGTTGGACTTTAATTTCGTTTGAAAGGGTCTGGTGAAGAGATTCGAAGGTCGATTCCACATGGTGAATCTTCCAGTAAAGCCAACGGACAGCTGATCAAAAGAAATCGGCAGTCGTCTTCTGATGGAATCAAGCTTCGAATCTCTTCACCGCACACTTTCACTCGGAATGGAGGCAAGCTCAACAATAATGTGACAAGAGAATTCTCGGAACCTAACTTTTCTTGGCATAACTCCGAGGTGTCTTGGAACCGGAAATCCACAAGAAGCAATACAACACAAAATTGGGATGCTGATGAACAGATGGAAGGACGGAGACTATGAAAGGAATGCAAGAGGGACAGAGGAAAAACGATCGAGATGTCTACCCTCCTGCGAAGTGGCTAAAAAGCTACGGTCAAGACTATAAAAATGGAATATTCATTTTATTTATTCTTCACGAGATTTACTACACAAGATGAAGTAGTCAGCAAAATGGAGTGCTCCGCAGTTGCTGCCCTAAACTGCAAGGACTCTGAGCGGAAAAACATTGGAGAGGTGGAAAGGACATGCAGCACAAGGACCAAATAAGACCAGCGACTATGCAGAAAAGTGGATTCGGAAGGATCGGCTTTTCCGGCCACACAACTGACTGGAGTGCAACGAAAAAGACTGGCTGCATGTGGAGGGAACACGAGGAAATGGAGGATGAACGAGGCTGTGAGCACCCTCTTCCAGACCAAAATGATGACCAGAAGATTGGCAGAGGAAAGGGTCAGCGAGAATTTCGAGATTCGGCGAAGAGATGACAAAGAAGACGCTTGTTGCCAGGACAACTGTTGAACAAGAGGAAGAGATATCAACAAGGAGCGGCTGATGAAGAAGAGAGCAAAGTGAAGATGAGGTGACTGCAATGAGAGGAGTCAAACCGGGAATCGGCCAAAGATGTATGCGTAGGATGTGGAATTAAAGACTAAAGGTATAGGTGGGCCAGATATAGGACACCAGTGTGTGTGTGTGTGTGTGCTTGTGTGCACTTTTCGTGTCTGGTGACATGCCTGGCCACGGGGGGTACCATCCAACAAGCACATGAACATGATCGCAGTACGCCAAGATTAGATGCGAATGTCAACCTGAAGGACGAGGGGAGTATGATTTTCGCGATTGAGTGGAAAAAATGTAAGTGGTTCATTTTCACACCGGCGGTTATGCTTCAAGCCAGACACACAGCCCCGAAGGATGGGGCAAAATGTGTGTGGGAATGAAGAAAAGTCATGGTTTCGAAGCCTAGGGAGAGGAAGACTCCCAGACACTGGCATTGGCATGGATGTGGGCATCATCCGCTCCAATTCCTCGAACATGGCGTAATCTGGGACGAGAATTGAGGGTTTTCTGGCGTCCAGATTTGAGACAATCGGACGGTGATTTTGACGCTTGGCAGCGAGCAAATGACAAGTGAAGTGGGAGAAGGAGGGGCAAAAAAGACCCACTTGTGGCGACTTTGGAGGAGACGAGAGCAGAAAATTGTGTGAATAAGTGTGTGGGCCATATGAAGTGGGGTGGGGCGAAAGAGATGTGGCACTGGAGAGTGGAAGAAAAGATGGGCGCGATTAGCGATGCCCCAACGGTTGAAGGTAAAATTGGCCAAAAGGGATTGCCTTCACTTGTCACTTTGAAAAGTTGTAGCTTTGTGTCTACGATGGCGCCTCTCGCTGACGACGCCGGCGAAACGGGGGCCAATGTACCGAGTCACGAGTTCTCTGGCAGAGGACACGGGACCAGGTACGCCGCACAAGGTCGTCTTGACACTGCGACCAAGTCGCGAAAACAAGGAAACTGCGACCAAACAGAAGGTCACAACATCTTGGTCGTCATGTCTACGAGATGACCCACAAGGTTGAGGTGGCTTCGAGTCTACCTGAGCGCAAAGATAGACTTGCATTTCGCGGGAATATGAATCAAAAATCGCAAAACATGTTTCATAAGTCAGTCTTTTTGTTTGGCATTTCGACAATAAAGACTGATAAAATGTTGGCCAGACAGTGCCATGACAACATATGTCTTGAAATTGTAAAGTAATCAGCCTCAATGATGAGGCAGAAGCAGGCAGTTCGGACCGGACTGCTGTGAATGCATCAAATTCTACCTCAAATCCTTCATTTTGTCTCATCTGCTTCGCAACTGGGGGTCTGAAAGTTGTCGTGAAACGCGTTTTGGTCATGTTCAACGTCAGATTAAATGCCAATCTAATAGTAGATCATGAATGAGAAACTTGTTCATTCCAGATGGCTTAAGGTGACACAAGGACTGATTGTTAAGTGCAACACACTCAAATTCGACTCCAAAAATGGCATTCTCATTTCATCGAGTCTTGTCCATACCCGCAAAAATTAAAAGCTCGCCTGCACGGACATTGAAAGCAATTCAGGTCTCCTCCATTTACAAATTACATTGAGATTATGCTTTGCTAACATATTTATGATACTACTGTATACTTAGTGAGTAGATTTAAAAAGTATCAGTAGAGCCCAAATAATAAAATAGGTCAGTTTGGTTATGCTTAAAATGATGTAGGGCTGATGATGAAATTAAACTCATATTTGGTAATCTTGTAGAATCTCACCACATTCGAAATGATATTTTATCTACCCTTGGTCGAATGAGGGGAGGGAATGAACTGATTGTTGCATTTTCCCATAATCATGTAAGACGGCCTCATAATATCAGTGAATTTCGCTTAGCTTTGCTTCAAAAAAGGTATTCTCAACCAGCATGGAATGCAGTTTCCTCTTCGCCTGGGTGTCATCGGAACCTCTAAC